GTATGGATGAAGGTCTCACATTTAGTCGTAACAAGAGATGTCTAGGCCGTTAATCAGGTTTTGCAATGACTTCTGGGACATTCTGGGGATTGAACTCAAGGAATTAATTTAGCTGACCTGTTAGTTCAACGGCATGGATTAGAAGTATGCTAAGTACTTCACATCCAACTACTGTCGTCCTCCTGGAAGGCTGCTATTAGCGGTGTTCTACTTCTAGTTCACGCTCTGGCATCTCATATTGTGAAAACTGATATCCGCAGCGCTCTCCTTGTCTATCATTATGGATCGGAATGGCTATACTCTTTGCTAACAGGAGACAAGACATACTTACTTACTCACTCTGATACTTGATGGCCCTTCAGCTGGTGCGATCTTCAGTGGGACCACAGCTCTTCCATAACGCACGATTTCTGGCGACTTGCATCCAATGTGGTGGACCGCGTTCTCTGAAATATTTCAAAAACGAGTCGGACCAACGCGTTGGTGGTCGTCCCAGAGGCCGTTTTGCGTTCCTTGGGAGCCATTCTGTGACGCGGAGACTCCATCTGTCATCGTTGCGGCGGAGTAAGTGACCAGCCCAGCGGTGTTTGCATTGCGTCAGGTACTGCAGCGGATTTCAGAACAATTCCAGACAAGATATGAGTTCTTCCAAAAGCAAGGAGCATGATAAATCCTCAAGACATTGGACTTGATACGCAGAGCAGGACAGAATTCGGCGCTCCAGAGCAAGCGCTGCTTGGCGCTTTTTCCATGGCAAGTACCCTTATAGCACCTATCTAGCTGCAACAACAAGAAAAAGACTCTGGATGCGCCACCGCATCCCTTCCCGTGCCGCATAAATGGACTGACCGTACTGATAAATGAAATCACCCTTCATTTGCGAAAATACAATATGATAGTGAAGGGGTTATACTTGAAAACCGCTGCGTAGCTGCATGGTTGTATCATATCAAACATGCGGGTCACCGCACATATACCGTAAACGTGTCATTGGACGCATGCCAGCAGGAAACTCGTTCGAAGAACTGCTGTTTGCAGTTCTCGTAGAACAGAGCATTTTTGCAAGGACGTTTAGCCGTTTTTTGTCGTTTCCTCATACACCCCTGCTAATCCATTCTAAGCCGAGTACCAAATTACCCTCCACTCATGCCTTTGAGTCAACTAATTCGCGCACAGAGAAATAGCTGAACCAGGAGGAAAACAGTCTCAATGGCCTTCAAGATTAGGTTGGATTGCTGACGAGCAGTCAAGAGAGTCGTCCATTGAGAACTGTTGCCAAACGGTTCTACTATCAAAGCTTTGATGTGCTGTGAACAGCTGATTCTAGAGGAAGTTGAAATGAGAGGGATGAGGGAGAAACTTTACTCCTCGCATGACAATCGCACCGTATAACCCTGCCGACCCTGCCGTTAGCACATCGGAGTACCACCCCTTCCGATATCTAGCTCATTATCTGCGAAGAAGCGATTTCCTTGATGATCATGACCTCAAAATGGATCCACAGTCCTCCTTGATACCGGACCCCAGGCTTCTATTTACCTTGGGGCAATCTAGAAGGGCCTGAACGTTAGCACTATGTCGTGAATGTCTTTATAGGGCACGTCAGTACTGAAAACCAAATACTTGCGAATAAACAGTTCGGGAATAAGATACTGAAGTGTCAAGAAATTGGTGGCCCGCCGGGTCATGGACAGGAACTGAAGAGAGCGATAAAACCTTAGATGACCTCTCAAGCACTTAAATGACCACGGAAAGGATGGCTAGTAAAAAAATACATTTCTTGAAAGCTTGGTGGTTACCGATCCTTTTCAAAAACAGATTTCACCAGTAGTCTCCAAAAAATATTTATCAAGGTGGCTCATATATCAACAAGTTATTTCCAGGCTGGTTTCAATCGAGGCGATAATTCCGAGCACTACGCCCTACCTACATCGGGCACTGGTAATATCATGTACCTAGAAGAGTACGGTAACACAGGGATTCCTGGGGAATGGATGTTCGAACTGGGAAAGAAGCGAGTGATTCGGTGCAAGCAGGGCATCAAGGGTGACACATGCGACGAAGGTACGTGCTTTTTTCTCTTCAGAATGGTTGCGTTTGTGTGATTATTTCCTTTTCTTGTACTCCTTTACTATTTTTTATTCATCCTTTTTTATTACAACTACACTGCAATAGTGAACAATATTCATGATTCATCATTCAAATTAATCCCGCAGATGCTTACCCTTGAAGAGCAGAATACCTCGGAACATCGCACTTGTCTTCATAATTTCTTGAAGAAAATGCCCCTTCCCATTTCTAACAACAATGGCTGCTCAAGAGTGGATTTCGATATTAGAGACGGACCTTCCCTTGGGGGAATAGTCAAGCCCCAAGCACAGATTCTGTAGCCATTTTGTGGACCAAGGAAGGGAACAATGGTGCAAGTGTTTTAACCTACCTATATGCGCTCATCTCAGAAACGTTAAGAGCGCACCTGCGCCATTCTTTAAAAGGCAGTTGGCACGATAAATCCCTAAGACAAGTAGGATCAGTAAGCCTAGCAGGACGTAAAGCAGCGTAGCGCCTTTTCCGAGAAAGGTACTCTTGTAAGATCCTCATGAAGATGCAACCTTACGACCCGACAGCCGATATCTGCCGTAGCGGTTATCAGCAAGTGCCTATGGGAAACTCGTCCGAAGTCGTCGTCTGAATCACTGAGAACGGAGGCTTTTCTTCGCGGGTTTTTAACGGTTCACTTGTTTTTTCGCCGGTTTTCGCCCAGCTATATGGAACCCGACCTACCCATTCAAAAACGTATACATATAATCGTGCATATGCCTATTGAACTTGGCTGCTTTTGCCTCTCGATTGACGATGTTTTGCCGTTTTAGGGCTGTTTTTTCATGATCATGTCTCTGTCCAGCACCAGGCACAGTGGTAGCTTTCTCAAATGGAAATATTTAACGAATACCGCATCCTACGCCATTATCAAATAAAGTATGCAGCTAGCTGCCTTCCCCTTCGCTAGGATTTGGAGTGTAGCTCCCTCCAGCCGACTTGCTCCCACCTTTAACAAACGCGCTTGACAGACAGCTCGTTGCTCCTCTCGTTCCTCTCTGTCGTCTGGTTCATCAACCGAGCCACGGCCACATCATTGGTTGGGGATTTTAGTCGACTCTATACGACCCCCCCCTTTTTGGGAGTTGGTACGACCCCCCCCCCCCAGCCCTCTGTCCTTCCTCATCGAATCGAGCCCGGTCGCAGCGGGGGGAGGGGTGTGAGGACATATAGTACCTTTTTACCAAAAATTTTGCTGTCGAGCGGAGGGGGGCATATAGCACGTGAAACAGGAATCACCAAAAGTCAACCGCCACTCCTACAACGCCAAAAACGAGATTCGCCCCCCCCTCCCTTTACAACGCTCCATTGAAGCGAGAAAAATCCTATCGAAATAAATTTCTCAGCCCAAATACCCCCCTCCTGGTGACCAAATACGACCCCCCCCTATTGGGGATTCCCCAAAAACGATGTGCCCTGCCTTCCGCTCACCGTTATTATCACTTGATTATCACTGGCTTCAACTTCTCAGCTACAGCAATACAATTTTCTTCTATTATAGTTTTTCTCTCTTATTTTGTCAGTAATTTGCAACTACTCATTTGCACTGAGTTTTTTTGCTTAGGTAATTGGTCAGAACGAGGTATTGACAGAAATACAGAAAGCTCATTAGAAACAATGAAACCTAAGCGAGGATATTCAATTTCAATTTCGGAGTTTTCATTTCAGAATGTTCTTCTGGCGAATGGGGTGCCGATTGTGCATTATGTTGTCACTGTGGTGAAGGAACGTGTCATCCATTGACTGGCGAATGTCCCAAGGGATGTGCTGAGTGTTGGTTGGGAAGCAACTGCCAGACTAGTAAGTTCGTCTTTGTTGGGTTACATGAATCCCATGAAGGGAACGCTTGGTACTTTAAGAGAAAGAGAACTGCCATGCGAGACCATCGGCTCAATGCGCTCCGAATGCGATTTCGTTCACCGATTACGATCGTTGTGGTGAACCTTTGCAAAGGTGCCAGTGTCTGGCAGGGTTTAAAGGCGACGGATACAAGACTTGTCACGGTTGGTATTTTACTTGACTCTATCAAAATGTTTCTTGATTCGGACTGAGCAAGTTTTGAAAAGCACTCTCTTTCATACTTTTGTATTTTGACTCTTCACATGCGCCTCTAGAACTTTATCGATTACCTTACCTTGCTTTTTCTAAAGTAGCGCAGATTGTTAATCAAATAGTGAAGAATATTAAAATTTGTATTACTAGACATGCTATCCGAATGTCATTTAGATGTTGATGAGTGTCGAGAGCAAGTCTGTCACAAACACGCCATTTGTACGAACACTCCTGGACGGTACTTCTGCCAATGTCAAGAGGGCTTCTCAGGTAACCTTTGCGATCGCACCTCACTAGTGACCGCATCTCTTTCTGAGAGAGCAAACAAATGTCGTTTTCTGATTGATTAAGATGAAAAAGGCAGAACTTTTGACGTTAGCGAAACCATGTGGGTGTTGCCAAGCATTCCACACCTACTCAAAACTGCAGTGGCCATTTTTTTGAAGCAATTCAGCTAACACAATGATGGCCAGATAGTAGACGACATCGGTGTTTCGCCCTCCTAGATAAGTGTGGTATACAAGGCAAATCATCGTGGGATTCCTCAACAGGGGGGGACATCGTTCTAGGTCGCTGGTGGGAGGGGAGGTCGTGTTTATTCTAAGAAAATTTTTTTGATAGTTGATTTTTCTTGTTTCACGGACTGGAAATGGGTTGCGTTTTCTCGTTGTTGGGAGAGGGAGGGGGTCGTTTCTGCTGTCTGAGAGAAAGTAGCAGCGTTGAGAAGAATTTTTCCCGGTTGTTGACTTTTCGCGTCCCCCCCCCCTCGCTCGACAGCAAAATTTCGGGGAAAGGTGGGGAAATTTTCGGGAAATTTCGAAAAAAAAACTGAAAAAAGTGGTAGAAGTTGCGAAAATCTGAAGGATCGGGAACAGGGAGGGGGCGTCGTACCAAACCACATTTTAGGGGGAGGTCGTACGGACTCGACCAAAATCCACAGTGTATGATGTGCCCTGGTGATATACAGGGGAAGGGCAATAAAAAGGCACTTTTCTTTCTCGATTTTTAAGGCGAATAAGTTACACTTCATCAGAATCTGAATTGAACATTCTCACCACCAAATTCAACAACAGATTTTACACTATCCTCCGCCATAGCCGTCTTGACGAAAGCCAACGAGAGATTGTGCCTCGTGATTCGGTGCTTGAGTTCAGCGAGGCCGTGATTTCTCCGCCACTGTAGACCACCCTGTTGAGCTCCGCTCGAACCCGGTAATCGAGGGGGTTTAGGTCAGGTGACACACTTAGATATTCCGTCTTCTTCAGGTACTCAACGCCCTTCCATTCCAAGTAGGCGAGAGTTTTCCAACGCCCTTCGATTCCATGTGCTGGCACCCAATCCTGTAGCAGTACGAAGTTTCCAAGAAGGTACAGGCGACGACATGAAGGCAGGATATTCTCCTCGAGTTGGTCGATGTAACCGTCAGCGCTCACTTCCAGTCCGGGTCCACAAAGAAAATATCGGTCTTCCCATTCCAGGTACTTCCGGTCCATACCATCAACCCGCGCCTTGGCGACTGCGGTGAAGATGATGTCCTAGACCGTGGCGACGTTGTCGGAGCTGCTCGATGTTGGAGGTCTTCCAGATCGAGAGTACTGGTCTCCAGGTAGCTATCCATGGGTGACTCCATACAAGAAGTTTCGCAGCTGTTTGGAGGTGACGTGAATTCCAAGGCCTTCTCCAGTCAGGCTGCGATTGGAGATGACTTCATATTTTGGTGTACATGAAGGTGATGGCTGCTCCTGCTTATCGAGGAACATCTTGGGTATCTTCCGCCCTGGTACTCGTATCCACGTCTTCTATCTGGGCTGCGTAAACTTTACTGATATGTGACTCGGCCAAAGTGTCTTTTTTTATTGCCCCCCCCCTGTAGTCATTTTCGTTACAGCTGGCGGAGCATGTTAAGGGGGCTAGGCTTCAGGCAGCCCTTTTTCAGCTGACTGTTGTCGCTTGCGCGCCCCAACAATTACAATACCGCCCCTAGTGGAAATCAGGCTGACCCCTTGCCATACCCAGCTTTCCTGACACGCTGCAGCGTCTGCAGCGAAAACGACTGTACCTACTGTCCGAGCCCATAGCTCCGTACGGTTTCAGTGAACCATATCTGTGATTTGACTCCCCCGGACAAAGAGAGTGGTAAGCGGTGCCGCATCTTAGGTTAGTAAACCACAACCTACATCAGTATTGCCTAAATCATCCTTTTGCGCATAGTTGATTTGTTTTGCTTCTTTCCATGCCGGGGCACGGGGCTTCACGCTGTTCCCAGCTCTGCGTATTACTCATGCAAAAGTTTCTGTGGTCCCTAAACAGCTTACATCAGGTCCCTTATCCTGACAAATCCGTGCTGGTCATAATTTTAATAGACAGAACCTCCGGCTATGTACTGACAACTATAACAATTGGTATAATGTCGAATTGGGAATCTTAGGTCCTTCTTCTACGTCTCGCCAACGACCACACATTAAACAAGTTGGTCTTCTCTTTTATGCACTTTTTGGTGGCCTCAGGAAGTTCAAAAAAGTTACTTATTAAGAAGTTAGGTGGTCATAGTAGTCGATTACTAAGGTCTGCACTGGCAAAGCAGGCGCCACAAAGGAGCGCCAAATTAATACGGACTGATGTAAAGGTTCGTTAGGCATCGGCAACTTCACCAGTTAATTCCAGGTGATGGTGTAACGGAATGCGTCGCATCCTTCTTGTTCCCATCCGACTCCCATCAACCTTTGCCAAAGAGTAAAACATCCAAGGTAACCATTCTTGAATCCACTTGAAAGCATATCTCAAAGCTTTAATTTAATTCCAGGTCTTGTGGCAACTCAAATCTCCTATGAAATTGTTTGGAAAAACATACGACAAAATTACGGTAGGTTATCCTCTCCGAAATGGATTTCATGCAACATCACCTAGGTTCTCTTTTCAGGTAACAACATCTGGCTTACTCTCAATAAGTGATTTGCCAAAGACGTTTGGAGGCAACTTAGAACAGATGCATTTGACCGGGGTGGCACCGTTCTTTGCCCCTATTGATACCAGCCGAGGAGGGCATGTGACAGTGGCCGAAGTCACAGGTGAGCACTTCTGTTGATAACCCCTGGAGATGCAAGGACTTGTAGGTGTTATAGACCACCCTTCCGAAGGCAATAACTTTCTTCTGTTCAACCCCGCTCTGTTTAGACTCGGACACGCTGACGCGCGTCACTCGTAGCATTCAAGACAATTACGAGGAACCGACATTCCAGGCCAGAAGTGTTCTGATCGTGACGTACATGAACGTCACCGACGGAAGATCCCAGGTAAGTACTCTCTCTCAAAGTTCGAAACTACATGTGTAAATCGCACGATGCTGCGAAATGGATAAGTGCAGCCCCCCTCTGCTTGGCGCCCGACCTCACTGGCGAACTGTAGCTTTCAACTGATTCCTGTAAGGCTGCACTTTCCCCTTTCACTCAGTCATTTCCCCTTCACAGACTCTGATGTGAAACTGCAGTAAAAGATTTCGGTAGGCCTATGGAAAGTCGTTTTACCATTGCATTCATGCCGACATGAAAACAGAGATGATCCATTTGTTCTCTTGTAATGTTTTGATTTATACCTATTTCCACTTTTACTTTTGACACTTTTTGCTACTTCATTCTAATACATCGAAAGGAGGTCCTCTTCTGTTAGGAGCTGTTAACTATCTTAGGAGATTTTACGGCATTTACACTTCGCGAATGAAGCATACAATGCAATCGCGCGATTAATAAATGCTCATCAAACAGTGCGACAGACGGCGCTCCACCGCTAGTGGTTGGACACTGGTTGGACCCGTGGGAAACAGCGCGGAAAAACGTTATTGAAATAGCAGTTGCCGCGTATGCTGGAGAGATGAAGACGAGAATGGGTTAAGGCGTCGATCGGTCTTTAGTGGCAGATAGCGGAATTGGCTGTACTCTGGGCGGTTCCCACCCACTTCTCTGCTGGTCTTTCGGGACTTTCTCGTTATTGAATTCATCAAAAGTGCAGCATTTTCTAAGCTTTGAGATGCCATTTGTTCTCCTCCATGACTTCCATAGCCCAATTCCGACGGGAAAAATTGAGCTGGAACAGCATAGTATCTTTTTGAATTTTGAAATTCGTATTTTTCATCCTGTAAAAATCGTTTCAGCGAGGGAATACTTTCCAAACATTGCTCATCAGCGGAATGAACAACAAACAAGAAAAAATGACATTCGCTCAAATGCTCTACAAGGATATGCAATGGGGTGATGGCGCTGAAGTGAGTCTTTAACAATTTCCTAACACCCTTTTGTGGATGCCTCATCCGCTAATTTGCTTTTCTCTTCCTATACTTCAATTGACTGTTTTCCTATTCAAGGCTGCCATTATGACTAACGACATCTCCTCTTCGGTGAGTCTTCCCGGTTCGGGTACGCAAGGTATCGAACAGCTCACACAACTCAGCAACATCGGACAGCCGGGCATTTGGCTGTTTAGGATAGGTAACGCAAAGATTTCTACCAAGTGGTGCTACTCGAGACAGAACGAAGAAATTTCAGATGAGCCATCCATTCAACCATGTCCATTGGAAGGACAGCAGCCACCGTACTGCCAGAAGAAGATACGACCATCCGATAGGATATTACCACCAAGGCCGACTCAACGTTCGTTTTCCCTTCTTGAGCATTTTTGGCGTAATTTTACGTATCGTTCCACATTACGATTAATGTATGTGTTGCTTCAGAATCCCGTGGTCCGGTATCCTCACCTCTACCTACCTCTCGCTTCGACGGCACCTCAGCACTTTCCATCCCCATCGATGCTCCTCGTATCATCCAACCACAACTCGTTACTCCACAATCCGCAAGGCACAATATACACGTTGCTGCACAAACTGAGGTATGTTAGATTGGTTTCCAGCCTTACAGCACCGTTTAACATACAGGGGGGAGGGGCAAAAAAAGACACTTCGACCGAGTCACA